ACATGACCTGAAGCTCCGTTCCTATAACATGTTCGTTGTACAGTTTACACGCTCGCTGCTTAAAAGTTCTTTGGCCAAGGCTGGTTCGAACACGCGGTACATGTAAATGACCGGACTGCCTAGTCTGGCGCTCGGAAACATCTCTATTGTACGATATGTCCTGTCGCAGTACCTCAGGCTCACCCCTGCTAATCACCCCGTGTAGCAGACATACGTCGTTCATGTCAATCAACGCACTGACGGGGAGCCACTCCAAATTCCTAATCACGTCGGACACATGATCATACTTCCGTCTGCCAGATATCACAGATATCACTGCCAGATATCACTATAAGTTGAGCTTTTCAGGTCAACTTATAGTTCATTCGACGCATGTCGACGAGACAAGCGCGATGCCGGTAAAATCAGCGTTTTACAAGCTTGGAGTCAAAAGTCCTGATACAAAAACCTTTTCCGCAATAACGTCAAATTTTGATAGTTTTTGCCCTCTGGAGACTAAACCGTTAACCTTAGGTCAAATATGAGAGCGGTGATCAGAAAGGCCTTTGAAAGACCTATCGAGTGCGCTTTACTGAAGTGCTGTAGCTCTTTTGGTTCCCGACTTATGCGCCGATTTGTGAAAAGTTGTCAAAATAGGAACACAAATTCGTGAAAACTTTACCTTTGGTGACCTCCAGTGACCTCTGCCATGACCTGATCAAAAAATGACCTGGATGTTTCTGAAAGATCTTGTAGCGACCTATCTATTGCTTTTTAAAGCGTCTTTCTAGCTTCCTTATTATTTTTTTTTTATAGATAATCTGGTGTGGCCAAAAAGGCCCCCACCATGGCGAAGTTGGCTGAGAGACCCACCCTGGCGCGGGTTTATAAAATCACAATAGGTACACCCTACTTTTTACTGCATCTATTGGTAAATCGAATTTACCGAATTTTAAAGAGCCTTTATATAGGCGTTCTTTAGTAAGCATTGTGGAGTGTTAACCCGCGACCTGGTGGGGGGGGGGCTATTTTTTGCCCCCCCCCCCTCCAGACTTTTCGATATATCTCCAGAACCGCTGCGCCGATCGTCACGAAACTTCCAGTACCCTCCCGGACATCAATTTTACACATTGTGACCAAAAATTTTTCCAAAGGCTATGATAGGTTGGCCGGAAATGACGTCAGAGTGACGTCATGTTCTGCCGTTTTCGACCCAAAAAAGGGTTTCGCGGGAAGAGCTGTCAGGCCTATAGCTTTGCAAATACAGAAAAATGATAACGACATAAAAGCTGTAGATTAGACAGGGCTACAAAACTGCTATCTCGGATTTTTGAAATTTTTGGATTTTGACCCCCAAAAATCAAAAAATAGATTTTTCGGATATAATAATCGAAAAATCCAAAAAGTTTTTTGAATTTCGCAAAAACCGGAATAAATGTGATAGTCCTTACCGTTTTCCATCCACATACCAAATTTGAGATTGATACCTCCTTTTTTGGCGAAGTTATAGCGAAAAAAACTGTTCAAAATTGATGACGTCAAATTTTCAAACTCAATTTTTAGCAATTCTAGACCCCGTAGCGCAAAACAAAGACCACCATTAGACTCCCCGTGACGAGCTGCATCGAATCAATACCCATTTTATGCAAAACTATCAACTTTGAAATTTGACCTTTTTTGGCCTGACCTTGACCTGACCTTGACCTGAACTTCACCAGAAAGTGACCTAAGCCGTACCTGATAGTCTTATAATATAACCAACACCATTGAGTTGGAAATGAAAAATTGGCCATAAAAATGTATCACACAACCTTAGTAAAGTTGGGCTCATGTGACCTGACCTGTGACCCTTGGTGACCTGACCTGTGACCTGACCTGGTATTGCCAGTGACCTCTAATAGCAACATATCTACTAGGCAACTGACGCCCTACCGCTGATTCTCGACAAAATGCGTTTTCCTCGGTGTTATAGCGCATTCCCTAGAAGCCCTGTGAACGGTGAAACATTTCATCTTTGACCTGACCTGTGACGTCATCGGTGACCCCGAGGTCAATCAAATTTGGTTTCCTTCGACAAATTTGACAGGCCTTTCGAACGCCGTTTGAATTTTGCGGATCCGTCCAGTAGTTTCGGAGATACGAGGGGGGGCAAAAAATAGCCCCCCCCCCCCACCAGGTCGCGTTATAAACAGACCCCACCAGGGCGCGGGTTAACCCATTTATGCCCAGGAATATTGACCATCATGAAAATCGACGAAATCAAAATATGTTATGCTCCTACCAGGGCCTTGTATGGAATCGAAAATAATTTTTGCCTGCAGCAAAAGTTTCTCGAGAAAAACGTAAAAAACATGCGTTGCGAAATCGCAACGAAGGGCACACCGGGCGCCATCAGCGTTGCGAAAACGCAACGACGGGCACATCAGACGGACATAAAGTACACTGAACTGCCGTATATGCTAATATATTTTGACAAAACATCAATCAACTGTTGACAACTATTGCTTGAAAATGCGGAACCCACATCCGTCATGCTCTATAACCCGCCTAAGAGCCTCAGTGAGGAAGCATAACTTCATGATTAGCGAACGGGGAGATGGCAACACGGTCATTATCAACCATTTACGTTGTCCATTGCTGTTCATTTAAAGTTGTGGTCGACACGTATCCAGGGTGATGCTTTCTTTTTGGAAGCTAGACAGATCCATTACCTCCACCTATCAGACCCTGCACAGTGCACACTGAATACAATTAAACGGAGGATTGGGAGTAAACCAGTGCCTCTCGTATGCGCGTATATCCGCAATCATTTTTAACCACCCTCCTAGGAGTAAAGTTAAATTCCATTGCAGGTTAGTCGTACCCAATCTCAGCAAAAAGAAAAAAGGACCGATCCGGCTCTAACAAATTACCCTCGTAAGGCGTAGCGCATCACAACAAATCGACTCCCAGTTTATCATGTTTACAGCTAATCCAAAATTTTCATGGCCCCACTCTCAGCGACCTTCACGTGTAACCTCTTTCTCAAGACAATGCCAGGACAGAATGGTGATTCGACGTCAATCCGTCCTTTCCATCTTCAGGATAGTTGAATCCTCCTCCACGCCTCATCCCCCTGTTCCGGGCTGGACCGGCAACGTATATCGCAATCGGGCAGCTCACATAGGAGCGCGCCTGTAGCCGGGTGCAGTGAGTGCTTGGGAGGGGGGAAGGGGGTGGGTCATGGGTGGCGGCTGCCCACTGGCTGGGCTCAGTCTCCAGTCTACGATTGACCGTGTCCGGTCAGACAAATGTCTCCCCTAATTCCAATAATCCTGCTAGCTCTAAAAATGGTCTGATTAGATAAAAAGCCTATCAAAGTAAGAAAACAGGTGTATACTCCACATCAAGCAGCTTATGAATCTATGCGAGTTATGAATCCTAAAAATTATCATTTTCCCATGGGTCCGCCCTCATTACCCCTGCCGAAGGGCTCAGCTACCCTCAGAGGGGGCCTATCCCACTATTTGTCGACCCTCAGTTATCTTTTCTAACGTAAATGCTGGTAGTCAGCAGATTCTATCCAGAGAATGGCGATGCCTATCTGTCGCCTGATACCAGAATACATCCCCGTTATTCATTATTTATGCACAATGTACATAGTAGATCCAATTTCCAAAGGACCTAATTATCTCTCAGCTCCGTTAGCATCGCCGACCGTTTGATGCATGGGTCCTTTTCCTACCATGCGATTTTCAGATGCATGGGAACACATTGCTTAGTGAACGAACAGCCCGAGGCCGAAAATCTGCGAGAGAAAAAGAAAGGAGTGTTTGTGGCTGTTTGAGCCAGCAAATATGAAATGTGTCGCAACATTTTACGTGCGAACGCACCTTGCACTAAACATACCTATATACGTCCCTCATGGCATAGGCGGCGGAGCGGGATGAGGGGGCACCGGGGCACCGTGCCCCCCTTGATTTTGCCATTTTAACATTATCCCGATAGGCGTTGCATGGAAATGGAAATGGAAAGAATGAGACCAAAAGTCAGCAGTGCTCCCCCCCCCCCTTAATTGAAGATGTTCCGCCGCTACAGCCTCATGGCTACAAAATGAGAGAGAAAGAAAGAGAGAGAGAAAGAGAGAGAGAGAGAGGGGGGAGAGAGTTGGGGAACGAGGAGGAGAGGGAGGAAGATGGGGGAGAGAAAGAGAGAACCCACAGGGTATCACGAGTGAAGTCTACTGTTGATATTCATACTTCCGCTACCCTGCCAATGTGCCCATCGTTGCGTTTTCGCAACACCGCTGTCTTTCCGATGTGCCCTTCGTTGCGTTCCCGCAACGCGACCGTAGTCATATTTGAAAATAGTCACAAACCCTTTTTGTAGCATTATTTCTTAACAAAATGCATATCTACACTATTGTAGGGACTCTGCAGAATATGTTTACACAATTTTCATTACGATATTATTAAGCACTTAGCCTACTTATCTTGGTTTTCGTGACGTCATCACTCACAAAACCTTCGACTTCCCTCTGGGAGCTCTAGGCAGTAACTTACCGGCCGCACAGACTTGTAACTGCGTAGTATCATGCGCACAACCATGCTACACACGCTGAAACTTGTCTCATCGGTTAGTCTCTTTTACACACTTCTCAAGCTTCGATCACGTCGACGCTTGCTTGCGTTGCGAAAACGCAACGAAGGGCGTAAATGGGTTAATTTCGATGTTGGCACACCCATACCCTTCACCTGATCACGGCCCCAAAATAAAACCTTTTCTATGGTTGTTAACTGGAAACGAACTATGAATTGTGTACTGAGTAAAATTTAAGTACAACTTCAAGCCTGTTATTATCTGAATTATCATCGGACTCTGCCGTTGTCGTAGGTCGTAGTAGTCTTATCTACTGATACTGATCTACTGATACCTGGTTTTACTGGCAACAACAGTTTATCTATGTTGTTGAGACACTTGAGCATTGCCAATCAGGGCCACTTGCCAAGCCTATATAAGCGGTCGGCGCGGGGGGGGGAAATACTGCTGTTGGTGCCGGGCCGCCGTTCCGGTCACAGCGCTCCCGATCTGCAGCCGCTCCTCCCCAGAGTCCAGTCTGTCCCCAGAATGGGGTGGCACTTACCGCTGATCACCCTGTTGGTTGTGACGGTTATACGATGGCATGTGGTCTCTGCCACCGACTGTCGAGATTCCAACTGTCAGTTTGATATACGGGAAGAATGCCTGACCTCCAGAACAGTAATCTGCAGCATGAAAGACCGGCCAATGAAGCAGGTGAGTGGAGGCAGACCGGGTGCTATAGGCTTTTAGTCCACGAAACGCTGGGAGGCATAAAGTTGTCACCCCCCTTTCGTTTTGTGTGATATCTCCGAAAACGGATAAGATATGAACTTGTTATTTGGTAGTTGGTATGGCCACGAATGAATACCACATTCCATTGTTCCGTCGTTTCCATACTCAGGATGTTCAAATCCTCCTCCACACCTCAGCCCCACTGTTCCGGGCTGGACGGGCTACTTTATCCCATGCGGGGAGCTCCTCTATAGGAGCAGGCCCGTAGCCGGGTGCGGTGACTGTCAGGGGCTGCCTGTCCTCTGGACGGGCTCAGCCCCAGCGACTCACCGGGGTGCTCGCCCAGACCAATGTCTCACCTTAATTCCTATTATCCTTCCGGCTCTGATTTCTGAAATGGTCTTGCTAGACCGCAAGAGCCTAACCACCCAACAAAACAAAAACAAAAACAAAATGTTCCATATTTAAGGAAAGATTGGTGGTCGTAGCACTTAAGATGATGTTACAATGGCGTCATAAGTTTTTGTCGTATTTCTATATGACCCATCTTCGTATACATTTTTCACCTAGCTTAGCGGTAATGCACGGAAGTTTATATTTGCTCCCAAAACAAACTTTTTCTTTTTACTGCAACACTGGACGTATGACTTGTTTAATAATAGGCCTATTCGAAAGAGTGGAGCATCGCACGTCTGCCCCTTATGAGTTCCAATCAACTTGTGCCATAGCCCTCGAGCTATTCTAGGTTTTGTCACAAAAAAGAATACCTACCACGTAGTGACCCGAGGGCTGTACCTTCTTGCCTGCTGTTTGTCATTCATTAATGATCACTGATGGCAGTCACAGGCTGCGAACCGGTAACAGAGGAACGACTGTGAGGAATGCCACATGATTGTGGTCCGCCTATTCTACGGTAGCCTATTTCTATATTCAGCGTTCGCCATCCATCCACCCTTGCCCCCCCCCCCATCATGTGCTTGGTCAAAGCGCCTCCGTTCATAATAGTGATGTCAACTCAAGTAGAGAAAAGTTGGAAACCGATACCAAGCCACAACAATGGGACATCAGCTAAAACAATGGTAAAATACCAAAAACCAAACCAACTTGTAAAATTGATAGAAACACTAACGTTTTACAAAAGTCGGGCAGCGTATACATATGTGATGCTCCATAATCCCGACAAAATACCAAATATAACATACCAAATACCAAGTTGGTATCGGTTTAACATCGGTATACAAAAAAGTTGATGTCCGATTGACATCTCACTCTATATAATCTCTCTAATTCATGCTCACATGTCTCTGTTCCAGATTAACATCACGGCTACGTCATTTCCAAGAGGTGTGCGTGACATCCGAATTTCCGATGCCGAGATGATCACCTTCGAACCGGACGCCATCTCCTCTCTGACATCTCTGAAGGACATCGAGATCACCGACGTCAATACCGTGATCCTGCTGCCCCGCTCTCTGGCACGTGACAGCGGGGCCGAACAGATCACCGTGACGATACGCTCAGTGAAGAGTCTTCAGCTGCATCCGGAAGCATTTCATGGCTGGAGAGGCGACTCGAAGATCACCATTGACGGCGTCAATGATTGCCAGATGTTGCAGCGCTCTATGGCTGACGCACAGCTTCGCAGTTTATCTTTGGCAAACACACAGTCGCTGATCGTTCAGGAAAATGCCTTCAGCACTGATTCTATGATAGAATATATATATGAAGAATATGAAGTATATTTCTCTACCCAATGGTACATTCCAGGCAAAGGTGCACTGGCTTCTGATTTCAGACATTAGGAACTTCACCGTACACTCAGGTGCACTGTCCCGAAACGCAACGATTCAGGAACTCAGCATCGAAAGAGTGACGTGCCTCAACATTGAATCGGATGGCATTGAAGCAGAAATTGGCGAGCTGAAGCTTCACAACGTTATCATGGAAACTTGTGGCGAAAACACGTTCGGTGGCAATGTTGCGTCCCTGTCCCTGAGCTCGTCGCATATCCATCGTACCAAGAAAAACTGCATCTCAACTGGGCACGGAATGAGGAAGCTGACTATAGAAAGCAGCCACTTGAACCAAATTGATGAATCGGGCATCAACGGGACGGTCACAGAAGCTCAGATCAAGAAGAGCACAATAGGAAAAATAGCAAAGGCAGGGCTGCAGCTGAATGTTACGACGCTTTCCATTGAGAACAGCACTATCAATGAAGCGTCAGGGAAAGCAATCGTGGTGCTTGCTGACAGCGCTATCACAATCAGAAACTGCACAATCGATGTTATGGAAAAGGGAGCCCTCAACTCACTAAACGTGAAACAAGGCTACAGCACAGGCACGGCACACCCTCGGATCCTGCTAGCCAACCTCCACATAAAACATCCACAGAACGGCTCGCTGCTGTTTGACCAAAGCCAAGGAATAACAGTGAATGACGTCAAAACAGACATTCCCTGTGACTGTAACATAACAACAACATTGGGTCTGGACATGTCTTCCGAGCACGCATTCTGGATAAGCCAGCCTCTCTGTGTAATCAAGGGCGTCCGGCCGACACTGGGCCATTACCTGAAGGAGTTTTGCACGGAACCCACCACCATCCCGCCGTCTACGATTCCCGACGAAATAAACGACACTAACCCTCGACCAGGAACCCTCGACCGTGTGATCAGGAACAAGCCGTTCGGCGATGGCTCAGACCAGGTCCGCACCGGCTTCACCCACAATGTGACCCTGATTGGCATTATCGTTGTTGCAGTCCCGATTATGCTAGCCGTCTCCCTCTTCCTCGTAAGCCGTCGCTTCAGACGAAAGTCGCGCCAAAGCGCCGACAAAGACCAGCCATCCCTGGATACCACCTTGCACCCTCAAAGCAACCAACAGACTCACGGACCGGGCTCACGCCCTGAGATCAGTGAACCAATTAACATCTACGTACCCGAGCCAGTCGACAGCACGTCCTTCCAGACACCAGGGGGTCAGACCATCGCCCAAACTGCCGAGACAAACACCAGCTATGGAGCGAAACCGAACAAGACCTGGACAGGAGTCTGCCGCGAGTCCCAGGCGGTACATTCGCCGATGGAAGCAGATGGAATTCATGAGATCAACTACGACATGACTCACGACACTGGAAACGTGACTGGTGACACGCTTCACCAAGAAATGACTGATCTTTTAGACAGTCAGAGTAGCCCCGTATCTGCCTGGACACACACCAGCTGTGGACCGAAACAGGATGGGAACTGGCAGAACGTCTATCTCGCACCTCCGGACGCCAAAATGCGAGCAAACGAAGCCTTGGCGCAGCATCCAAGGCATTGTCATGACTCAGGCTGTTCTACCATGACTACTAGCACAACAGTCAGCCATGACGAGGTCAGCCAGCCACCCGACGAGCGGTACACTGCGCCCATCTGTTACAGCAGCGACGCAACTGGACTATCCGAAAGCTTCGTCCGCAAGACGTCAGTTCAAAGTGGCGAGGTGTTCATCTATCCTGATCAGCAGACTTGTGGACCGAACTTGCGCCTCGCAACCAGCGCACCAATGCACGGCGATTTAATGGGGACAGACAGAAGCGGTTCACACCACGCGCTTGCTTTAAGTTCCTTGATCAGCTCAGCCGTCGGTGGACCTGCCGGGACTCACACCAGCAACGGGATGGAAACGGGGAGCAGCTCATCGCACGTGGTCTATCTGCCTTTGAGGGCATCTCGGCCAAACGAAACGCCCGGATGGTCGTCAGGTGGGCCACGACCCTACGTGGATATACCCATCTATTGCACCGCGCCCAGTCAGATACCAGAGCGTCGTAAGACTGAGAGGCGTCGTCGAGGTGGCAGTCAGGACGAGGTCAGCCATCGACCGGACGAGCGGTACAAGCTATTAGCTAGCTACCGGAGTGATCGGCCGAAGGACCCTCGCATTCAGCGGCTGGCGCGAGATCCACGGTGGGCGCGGAGGTATGAGAAGGAATTTGAGTTATAGTATAGTCGACTACAGAATGATGTTCGACTCCTCAGAAGCTATCAGTTGACCGGAGCGCTAAGTTGTGCCGTTTATCACGCAATTAAGCGTGTCGATTGTGAGCATTGGGTCAAAGCTATAATTTGTGAACTCAGCCCGTGTGATGCGGCACAGCCTACCACTCCAGGCAAATAATTGCCTGTGAAAAGTGGAACATCATTCTGTAGTCGACTATACAGCTGTACTTCGTGGTCATTTTAGAAACTGAGTGGTATCTAAGGGTAAAGGATGCAAAAGCCATGTAGTATAGTTGATTAGAATTATGATGCCTGTCATGTTGAATTTCAGATATGGCACGCTCAGGATTGGCTAACTAATGGTGATATAAAGAAATAAGTTAAGATTAAGAATGCTGGTGCATAAAGAGGGTCCTCACATGACAATGCACTGGGTGTTTTACAAGTTCGATGGGTATGATAATTGATGTGGAAATTGGCGGCTTAGAAGGGTAACCTTGAATGCTTTATGACAGTATCCTGTCTGTTGGATGTTTTGTAGGCTTGCAATATATATATATATATATATATATATATATATATATATATATATATATATATATATATATATATATATATATATATATATATATATATATATATATATATATATATAGAACGTGAGATTAGCGTTAGAAGGGAGGAAAGCGTGTGCTAGAACATACATGCTTATCGGTAATAAATCAAAGGTCGACATGTCGAAGGTTGATGTTACAGCTTTGTGATGAAGCCATGAATGCTGACGAGTGCTGACGTCTTATGCCGAAATCCGATGTACAGAATGGTACGGGTTTGGAATTACTGAGGTGGCTAATAGGTACATTTGTTTCCTCGTCAAATTTGTTTAATTGCGCAGTTGAACGAAAAGGGAGGGGTCTTTTACCCTCTCTTCTTTACTCTGCTCCTCGGCCACGTAGCAACACGCGGTGTTAAAATAACGAGAGTGCTTTGCTTGCTTCTTAGGTATATTATACACCAGGCAGCCAAATCCCCTATCAAAGTTTTCAAAAATGTATAAAAAAACGTAGTTGAGCATCTGAACTATTTGACCCCAACCGAGTGGTGGTTACAAGTACTCCTTTTCCATTTCTAAATGAACAAATAATCTGAATTAAATATGGTGATGAAATTGGGACCGTATTAGAGCCGGCGATAATCACGGAACATTAGTGTCGGGGCAGACTGCGGCGGGGCAGACTGCGACGACCCCTAGGAAGAACAACTAGGGAGAACAACATTCGACAGATGGCAGCACTAAACGAGATAATCAGGCAATACTTTAATATTAATGGGAAAGAAATAATGCCAATGTTTGCCCTCACCAAGCATGTTACCACGACAATGGAAGAATGTAGTGTAGTACCCCTCCCCGGACCCGCCGCGGGCTGGCAGCGGCGGCCGGAGCCGGTCCGACCTTTAGCCGGCCGGGTCAGGTAACCGGGACGGCCGCGCCGCGGCGCCGCGCCCGGGCCGGCCGGGAGACGGAGTCGGATGCCCGCCGGCGAGCCGTCGGCAAGGGCGCGGGGCACATTAGTCGAGTTGAATGTTCACTGTTCAGTCTTGAGTGCGAGTATAAGGCCGAAAATATAGAACAAGCTTTCGTCTTACGACATCATCGGGTTCTGGTCAGAACCCGAGACCAGAAACCGATGATGTAAGACGAAAGCTTGTTCTATATATTTCCGGCCTTATTTTGTTAGGTATATAGAAATACATCTCACTGCCATGTTATTGGTCAATTTCATCGCCATATTTAATTTTTTGATCATGGCAAAACCGACCATTCAATACATCAATACCTAATCTGAATTCTGAAATAACCCTGAGATAAATCTAAAACAAATCTGAGATAAATGGAAAAGGAGCCTTGAGATAACCAGCAAAGCGGCTTTTGGGGCGACAAACGAGCGATCGAGAGGGTGAGCCTTGCACGTGCGGAATTGCGAGGGGGTACCTCCAACTGACTCGTGCACGGCACATCTAATCGGTTTCTAGCGATGTGCCAAATCTGAGCGCAATCGGCCCAGCCGTTCTCGAGATCCGGAAGCGGCACTTTGCTCGTGCGCACGTGCCAACTGGGTCCCAAATGAGTTTTGCACGGCACCCTACTAACCCAGTGATGCAAATGGGGTTCACGAGTGGCCATAAATACCGAAAAGTCAAGTTTACCAAACCGAGTAAATCGCTATATGGCTAACCAAAGAAATGTTTGGCGCATCTGAAATCACATAGTTTTCATATTTTTGTCAAAACCGGCCTCGTGTATGATTGTCAGAAGTCGTGACATTTTCTATGTCGTAAACTGACTGTCAGATACTTGCAAGTTCAAACGCCGCTAGCGTGCGTTCATTTAATACAAACTGCAAAAATCATACATGGCAATGATTCCTAAAGCCTGCTGCTTCTCATGCTGGGTCACAAAAAGCCGCATCTTTTTTTGGTTTGGTGGTGATCTGATCATTTGTCATCATGTTGCAATCGCACCTTTTACTAAAAAATATTTGTTTTCGTTTCACCTACAGCAGTTTACACAGTGTGTGCCCGTTAGAGCACCATACCATAGCATTTCCTAACCATTTTTGAGTCATACCGTGAAAGAATTAACCCGCGCCCCGCTGGGGGGGGGGGGCAGAATCTTCCCCCCTCCCGTTTTTCGCCAATAACTTCTAAACGCGTTACGCCAGCGACGTCAAACTTTCAGTACCTTATCATAAATCAATTTGACACGTTCCCTGAAAATTTGAGCAAAATCCGTCGGAAAATTTTTGAGAAATTGACGTTTTAGTGACGTCATGTTCACCATTTTCGCCTCAAAAACGGCAAAATTTCAAACGCCGCTAACATCTTCATTTTTAAAGGAATCAAGACCTAACAAAGAAGGTTATACGTGATTCTACTTTGTCTATCAAATGGCTATCTCGGTTTTTTAAAAATTTTGGATTTTGGCCAACATTTTTCCAAAAAACTGACTTTTTGGGGAAAATATTTATAAAATCCAAAATTTTGAGTTTATCGTAAAAACCGGAATATATGTTAAAGAAGTGGTCTATGTGCACCTACATACAAACTTTTAGAAGAATCGGTTCAAAAATGTGGGAGTTATTCAAAATTTTATGACGTCACGACACACAAAAATTTTGAAAAATGATTTTTTTGGAAGTTCTAGACCTCGTACGGAAACAAAAATAGCACCATTCGATTCGCCGTGAAAAACTGCATCGAATAGACACCTTTTGAGGCCTTAAAAACCAACTTCAAAATTTGACCTCACTTGACCTGACCTTGACCTGACCTCGACCTGAAATTCATCCAGAGGTGGTCCATATCACTTATTGAGTGTGCCTATTGAATTCCATGAGTAAAATGACCCATAAAACATGTGTCGCACATGCCCTTTTCTATATTTTGTTTTTGGTGACCTGACCTGACCTGACCTGACCTTGACCTTGACCTTTGAATGACATTGTGTGCAATGAATATTGTCTTGGTAGTCTAAGAACACGTTTTGGGCAATCAGTCTCAGTCCATTCTTCGGCAACTACGGTGCAAGGCCGATACTGTAGAAACTTGTATTTTGTACCCTTGACCTGACCTTGACCTGACCTCTGACCTACTTAAGCAAAAAAATTTGGGCTCTTAAGATCCGCCTTGTTGAGAGCTTTCGATTGCCGTTTTCCCCGTCTTTCTACGACCATCGGTTCGGAAGTTAGACGGGGGGGGGGGGCAGAATCTGTCCCCCCCCCCCCAGCAGGGCGCGTATGGCTGAATAGCCCAGCGGGGCGCGGGTTAAGGCGCTAGCACAGGGCAGACCAGCGCTATTGAAGTTTTTGTCCGGCGCGGTCGGGTGTCGCGGTCGGGGCGGATTGCTTTCACCGCGGATTGCAGTTTCGACAGACGTTTAACTTTGACCTGCTATAAGTAGGTCAAATATTGACCTTAAGTCAAATGTAATATGCTCACTCGCGAGATCTTGTCAAGAGGAATCCGTTGGTTTTTTGTCGCGAGGCGCTAAGACACTTCGTTTAGGAAGAGCAGAGGGATGCACCGACGAGCCCCCCGCTGTGGCCGCCCGCCCGCCCGCGGCGCGGCCGCCCGGGCTGCCCACCGCACCGCGGCACCCGAACGCAACGGACGAAAACTTTAGTAGCGCCGGTCAGCCCTGTGCGAGCGCCTTCATTCTTTCACAGTGCGGCTCAGAAATGATTAGGAAATGCTATGGTATGGTGCACTAACGGGCACACTGTGTAAACTACTGTAGGTGAAACGAAAGCAAATATTTTTAAATAAAAAACTGCGATTGCATCATGATGGCAAATAGTTAGATCAACGCCAAACCAAAAGAGATACGGCTTTTTGTGACCCTGAATTAGAAGCAGCAGACTTTGGGGATCATTGCCATGCATAATTTTTGCCATTTGTATGAAATGAACGCACGCTAGCGGCGTTTGACGTTGCGAGTATCTGACAGTCATTTTGCGACATAGAAAATGTCACGACTTCCGACAATCATACACGAGGCCAGTTTTGACAAAAAAAATGAAAATCATGTTTTTCAGACACCCCAAACATTTACCTGACTGGCCATATTACGATTTATTCGATTAGGTGAACTTGAAGTTTGGGCCTTTTCGGTATTTATGGCCACTCGTGAACCCCATTTGCATCACTGTGTAACCGGTCCCTAACAGTGTACCTACAAATTTGAGCGCAATCTGTCCAGCCGTACTCGATATCTGGAATCGACCCCTGCACTGCGCAAGTGCAGCAGCACCCCAACTGTGACACATGAAAATGCATTGCCTAGTGGGTGCCTAGTGCCTACCTACATGCCAAATTTCAGCGCAATCTGCCCGGTAGCTACCGAGATATTGCAGTTGTTACAAAACTGACACCCAGCCTGTCTCCTACACGGTCTCCGATGGCTCCGGTTTGTCTCACCGATCATCCTTAGGTATATCCCAACATATCTATACTTTCAAGTAAAGCTGGTTATTTACATTACCGTTATTAATATTTACAGGACGTAAGCGCTATTCCTGAAGTGTTTTTATTTCGGAAGCTA